AAAAAAAGGACCAAATGGGATTGCGCGAATGGAAACAAAATCCCATGCAAGGCGCAACCCGAAATCTAAAAAAGAAAAAATATATATCCGATAAAAAAAACTAAAATTTAATTTAAACAATTTAACTATGATTCAATTTAGATAGTGTACAGTACAGTGCAAATAAAATCAGTCAAATAAAAATTAAGAGTGATGGCAAGGGCAGTTATGGGAGTGAAACCAGGTGCAGGGCATGTCAATGTTATAAGTAGTGTCTAGTAAAGTAAAATAAGTGGTGCGCAGAAAAATTTTAAAAATACTTAGACTTGAAAAATTGTCATGAGAGGCGATATTACAGATAATGTTTCAGGGTTCAACAATTCTAATAAAAAAGGAGGAATGAAAAGTTGCAGTTTTACAGTAAGCAGGTTTTAGTACAAGAGTAGGGTTCTTAGAGTGAGATCAGCCATGTATGACAAAAGTAACATACCTATCAATATTTAAGTCGGTATGTCCAGAAATGCATAAAATGCAGAAATGCATAAAATGATATCATAAAGATAACTACGTCTAGAATCTAGTATACTTGGAACAAAAATTTCACTAACTTAAACCCCACTGTTTTATGGCAAAGTCGAGCCAAGGTGCTGGAACTTATTCTGGTCTTTATAGCATAAAGCAGCTAGGAGCATTGCATAATTTCTTGGATAGGATGCTGGTTTATTACAAGTTACCCCTTTGCATTTTCAGGCTTCTCTTACAGTTTGCTGATACTCATTTATATTTGTGGGTGGAGAGAGGCACTGACAGAGTGAAGTGTCTTCCTTAAACATTTAACTTCAGTGGGGGACCGAAACAGGATTTTTCCTCACAATATCAAAACAAAATCCAGTAGACAAGAAGAATGAGAATAAATTAAGGTATCAACTGAGGGATTATTAGTTGATCTAATACCAAGTTTTCCAAACTAACATTGTGAAAATCATCTAGCAGACTACAAAGGGGAATAACTAAATTAAAAATGAGATCTTGGAGTGAAAGTGTTAAAGTCAAAAAAGAACTACCCCCAGCCCTGGTCTTTGGAGTCACACTTGCCATGAGCCCCTCAAGTATCTCAACATTTATTTCTTGTAATATTATTTTCATATTACAAACCTCAATCAGAATGGCCTCTTTCTTCTTGGAAGAAAGATTCAAGTAGTTCTGGACACATAAACAATATTTTTCTGTTTGCTTGTCAAATTTCTTCTTTTCCTCCTACAAAAAATGATTCATCTTTGATGTATTGTATTAAATAAATAACTAAATAAAAAAAAAAACCTCAATCAAAGTAAAAAGGAGAAGGAGGAAACACTATATAACAAATGGGCACAACCCTTTCAGCGCTAGAAGTGACCAGCATCTAATTTCTCCTTACAATAATAGACAGACAGACAAACAGACATCTATATTTATACAAGATAGCCCCTTCAGTGTAGTAAACACTGGTATCAACGGGGTTCCTGTTAACCACCCATCCCACCCCGGGGAGGACATCCATCACACAGTATTCTCATGCGTGGGAAAGTAACGTCTCCTGCCCCTAACCCTGCAGGAGACAGACCTCCATTTATTTGTCCCTATCCGAGAAGACTAGAATATCTAACCATTTCTTGATGTTATAGAAAGGTAGCATATTCTTCTCAATTATTTTAAGACTGGGTGTTGGTCCGGCCGGGGCTTGAACCCTCAACCTCCCGCACAACAGTCCAGCGCTCTATCCATTGAGCTAACCAGGAGAATCATTCATTAAGATCATGAGAATAAAGGAAATAATGACCAACCTAACAACCTGTGATTGTTAAAAAAATTCTCCTTGTGAGTACCAAAGGAAATGTATAGAGAACAGTATGGAGAATATGCATACTAATGTCAAGGTGTAAGGGGTTAACATATTGTCAGTCTGATATCCTAAAACTCAAACTTAAGAGTCTGCTCAAAATTTCTTTTCCTTATCAAGTTGCAGGAACGACCTCTTGTAAATTTAACAGAAACAAGCCATTTTGATGGGGAGGTTGTAAAGCAGAGTTCCACAATAACAGTGGTTCTTTAGTTAGTCCTACCTCATGCTTCACTTCAAATAATAACATGAAACAAGAAACAAATTACAAACAATCTACCTTTGCTCCTCCAATCTGCACTTTTCTGAAATTCTCCAGTGGCACTATCAGCTGTGAATTTGCATGGTTTAACTAGAAATAAAAAGTGATAACAATATAGCAATAAATGAAAAAAAGGTTCTTCCTAGAAAATGCAAAATCTTGAATCTTAACTCAGGAAGAAGGCCTACCAAGGTTGGCAGAATGAGAGAAAAAAAAAGATTTAAACAAGCAATGCTGTGCTCTGACAAAAATTGTAGGGAGCCCAGTGCTCTGAAACTGTGAAATCCAGGGTGCCCAGCATATGCTTTTTATGAAAAAACTAAGATTTCTGAGTTGTCCAAGGGCAAAAGGAAGGCACCAGGGGCCACCAGGGGCCATCAGGTGCTGCTAGACCACAGCTCTGACATGGACTCAATAAAAACCACTTTTTGTGGTGTGAACTCCTTGATGACAATCTTTATTATTACAACTCATTATCATCATTGATTCCCGCAAAAGAAGAAAACAACTTTACCATTCTCTCTCGTTCATCCTCAACACTGTCAATTATTGTAGCAAATTCTTTCAGCGATTCAGCTATAACGGGAAAAACAATTAGTTAAAAAACAGAACTGAAACAAATTTACAACAAATGCATGATAATATTTTTGGGAACAATTTTTTTAAAAAAGGGACAACTAAATTTGTCAGGAAACTGGTGTCAAAGCAAGAGAAATTACAATAACTATTGTCTAAACTGCAACTTGTGTTTAACTGATTAGAAATGAGTGACTGACTGGTGTTATCGCACATAACTCACCTATTATTATCTCCTCATCAGTGTCAACTTCGCCAATGCACTCGAACCTGAAGTCACTCAGCACTTGTGCAAAGCTGCGTTGTGCTTTGGATAAATCTAAATGACAGATAAATCAATGTTTGTAAATAACAAGGCTATATTTCCTTGTCTGGACTGTACAGCAACCTGCAGAACCATTGGATATGAATTAGCCCTTTCACTTCTAAAATGTGTCAGTGTAAACAGATTGTGACTATTTGCATGTTGTACATTCTCTAGAACCTATGTTTAGGGTTGTCTTTGTCAGTTTGGCAGAAGAGAGTACTTTTTGTTTCCTAACAACTGTGACTTGTAAGTGTAAAATTATTGTCTCAGAAGATCTCAGAAATATCTTTTAGCCTTTTACACGATTTAAGGCACTGATTCAAATCTTCTTGTCCGGCATGATGTCCTTAATTTCTGTCAACTGTTAAAAAAATGGCAAGAAAAGCTCTTAAGATCAAGTGCCACTGTTGCAGCATGGAATATTTCCTCTATGAGAAATTTCTATTAAATAAGCAGTAAGCTTATAGAATGACTGCCAATGATATTGGACCTCTGAACGACCTCAAAGAAAAAAGAAAAAAAGAGACAAGAAGAACGATTGCATTTTTTAAATAATGTGGAGAATACACATTGCAGGTCCATAAAACTATCCAAAGGCAAAAAAATCTAACAGTTTGACCAATACTTTGAATAAGCTAGCTGAATGAAAGGTCAAAACTTTCCATATTTGACAATGCCTTCAAACAATCTAAAGTGAAGTCCATTCCCAACTGAAAGACTCCCGTCAAAGCATTCCGCTGAGCGAAAAAAAAAAAAAACAAAAGAAAACAAAAAAAAAAAACAATGAAGCAAAACTATTTTACTTCCTCAGCAAAAGAGTCTGCTCATCTGTTTGTTTTGATCTGATTTAACTTATGCCCAGTTTAAGATGCACAAAAAAGGTGGTTTAGTGGTACACAAGGAAATTTCAAGAAAATCTTACTTAGTATGAAAAATATTAAAATAGCCTTACGTCAAGGGAAAAAAATACAATGCTGGATACATCAGAAAATGTTATTGATTAACCAGTAAAATTGTCAAATGTGTCTGTGAAATAAAAGTGACTGAATCATTTCAGTAATTTGCTGATCAAGAAGCCTTAAATGACAAGAATCTGGTAAATATGACACAAATTATTCACAACTAATTATTCAAACATTGGAAATCAGGTACATAAACATCACAGTCATCCTGCCCTAGGGTATAATTCGGCAGCTTTGGAGGAAGATAAAGAAATTTTTGTGCTTAATTTAAGAAAAGACAAAATAAATATAAAAAGTATTCAAACAAGACAACGGGAACCGTACACAGAATTAAAGCAGAGTGACAAACTTCCAAGACCGGCAAGAGGTGGTTCCTGTCAAATAACATTCTTCGCAGTTTCAGCCGGGAAAAGTTTACAGAGCCAATCCGATATCGAGGAACGTTTACGATCTTTGTGAGAGATTTCCCACTTAAAGATCATGTCAAAATTTCAATATTGAATGGTTTAATCTCCATTTAACATACAAATATTTAAAGTTACGTCCAATTTCTGGGGCCCATATCCGTTTTGCCCCGTGCAGAAACAGATTTGAGGCTTCAAATAATCGTGTGTGTAGCTTTCGGAAAGACCTAGTTTTAAAACCTGTCGATTTCCCCGAAAACTTTGATTTCTACCAAAACAACGACAACAATTCAACAAATAATTTAATTCTAGGAAATTGCTCGCATGAAAATTCAAAAGATTATATTTTGGTCATCAATTGATTTATTGATGTCTTGCGATATAGGGAGGTGATCATTGCACAAACATTTTTGTAAAAAATTCCCTGTAAATTCAACTCATTAATGGGGAAGATTAGCTCATTTCTTCAGATCTTTCGAGAGATGATCGAGTGACCAGAAGTGCTACAGACGGGTTGAAACATCATACAAAAGCACTTAGCAGGAAGTCAGGGTCGCCTACGGCTTGGAAAAACAAGTGGTAACTCACTCGCATTCGTAACGCTGTTCCTTTACATTCAAACACGGATTAAAATATTTAGCGACTTCCAAACAGGGAAAACAGCTAACTTGCTGTGTATTGTTAGCTCTACATGTACACGAAACAGTCACTTACTTTCGATCGCCTTCAGCAAAGTCTTGCATTCTTTGATGAGGCCCTTGATGGCCTCGTTCGTTCTTTCCAGCTCCCGTTCATGTTCGTGAATGTTCTCGCGGAAATATGGACTATCCAAAATACAATCTTCGAACTCAAGAGGCTTAAGCCCCATTGCTAAAGGCAGATGAAACCTTTTTCCTGATTTATCGTGCCGGTTTCAAGGAATCCTTTATTCCATATATATAAACAACTCGCAGTATCGGCTAAGATCCTCTGCTTCAAGGTTTGAATCTGATTACGCATGTGCAGACATGTGACCAGTTATCCGTGACGTTGACAGACTAAAGGAACCCCGCCCCACGGGACACGGAATAAAGAAAATTGTTGGAGTACGTCATCCAAAAATAATTATAAAAAAAAGTGCTGAGACAAAATTTTAGGCCTGAATGTATCACATGGCTTTCTCTAGGACGAGGAATAAAGTGGAAAGTCGAAAATCACATACGGATACCTGGCCGTACGAGGAAGTTGTCTATAATTTCCTCGTGGGCTGAGCCCGGAATCCGTGGATCACCGAAAAAGGATATTTCAAACAATACGCTATACTCTCTTTTGAGGACCTCGTCTTCCTGTTCCAATTAGCATCCGGCATTAGTAACAACTTTCAAAAGAAATAATTCGGGGAAATAATAAACAAAAAGGATGCATTTTGTTACTGTCAACGAAATTCTCTACTAAACTGAAAACTGATCTGGGAGCCTGGATCACCGAAAACAGATTGTTTTTAATTAAACAATACGCCACTCTCTTGGGGAAATTCATCTTCCAATTTCAATTAGCGTTCAGTTTTAGCAGCAGCGATAAAAATGAATAATCATGGAAATATGAACAAGAAAGATGCATCATTTTACTTCCTGCTGCGTCTCGTTCTGTAATCCTTTGTTTTTCTCAGAGGGGCTGAAAGGTGAGGAGGAATGGAAAGCCGGGGTGCTCGTCTCTGCGAGAAGAAAAGAAAAATTTTTAAAGCTGTTACGATATCCAAGGTTGGTAAATTACAAGGCGCTTTCTATGGGATCTCAATTCCTGTCTCAACGGACAGCTGGTTCTATGAGGAAGAAGCAATTTAGAGAGAGGAAAACTTGAATAGACTCTGTCTCTTTAAGCAAGCCTCAGGACTGTGGGACACGGATGATCTTAAAAACCGTTGAAAGGTTACGACTGAATAATTGAAAAAAATATCCGCATCAACTCGTTCAAGAGATGGTCCACAGTAAGTTGGGTACCTCACAATGCACTAATGTGTGACCGGTCTCCCACAAGAGAGCATGCGCAGTTTGTCTGAAGATGAAAAATATAAATAGCTAATTAAATAAAAGAATAAGGACAAGAATATGGCGGGTATGGTAGTAGGTGGAATCAATCGTTGTGCTAAAGTAATGCAATAAATTGATTTATTTCTCTTTCGTCGAATATGCAGAGTGTTGTTGAAAAACTAGTGACATTGCACCTTGCTACAACACGTCCAAGTCGTTGGTGGAAATTCAAAAACCAAAAAAAGGATTTATTGCATGAGCAGTCTGATCATTTATCATAAATCAAATCCAGGAAAGGGGAAATGACTATTTTTAGCAGATTAATCTTCCTCAACTTCCTCCGCCATGAGCCTTATATAAACTCTGCCAGCACCCTTGTTCTTGTTTGCCTTATTAGACGGTGAGATCCCGGAGTTGTACGAACTTCCTCCTTCCGCAGTGCCACCATTCTTACCGTCACACTTTAACCAACACCCTTTGACACCACCTCCCGAATACCCTCCCCCACCACCGGGCAACAAACCGGCAGCCCCTCCCCCACCAAAACCTCCTCGACCCCTCTTGCCATGAGGGAACTCATCGTACAGTATGTTTGCCTCTCCGCCATTTCCTCCACCAACTAAGCTTTCTCCACCCCAGCCTTCTTTGAAGCCGACTCCAGCGCTGTACATGCCTCCCCCTGCACCCGCGATCACTTTGTGATGGCCAGTAGATTTGTCGATGACTGTCTCGCTGCCGTCGCTAGTGTCCAAGAGTTTTCCGCCATCGCCCTCGCTGCCGCTGACATCGGAAGATGGCTCATCATTGGACCTGCCACCTTCTCCATCTGTCTGCCGAGCTATGAGAATATTACAAGATTAATGATAAAGTTAAATTGCCCAAGTTTTAACATTGTCATGTGATTGATCAACAGGAATATCCTAGGTGTCACACAACCTAGTACGTAAAAATACTGTACATGGCTCCTTCATCTAGTAAATTTGTGAGTGACCTTAGAGAAGCTTTAATCCTGAAGGACACCAAAAACAAAAACTTGTTAAAGACTTTGAACAGATGTTTAATCTGGGCACTTTTTTAATGCATTGAAGTAGGTGGATAAAGGACTTTTGACCAGTACTGTGGGCTAGTTCCTGAACCATGTTCATCAGTAAATTTCCGACTTTGTTGAGGAAAGAAAAGCTTTGCCGAAACAACTTTCTCTCGGACCAGATCAGACATGAACGATTGGAGTCTATCAATGAGCTTTCACCTACAAGCATTTTGATGGTTAACTTATTCAGAGCTTGATTCCTCTGGGTAAACAACTTTTTGTTCATATTTACGTAGCTTCGTGACATCCGGCACAAAATCACCGTTTAACACTCGCATGCGTACTTACAAGCTTTTGGTATTCCACCGCCACCCCCACCACCAGCTACAAGCAGCGGTTTACCATCTTCGTACACGACAAAGGTACCACCCCCTCCTCCCCCAGGACGGTGAGGAACAAGATAGTCACGGGACCCTTCATTGCCGACCAAAATCTTTAGGATTCTTCCTTTATGTAGTTGGAACTTTCCTTTCACAATGGCTCCGTATCCTCCGCGCTTACGGTTACCCGAACTTCCGGCTAATATCCCATCAGCCCCAGAAGCCCCTCTAGCTTCGATGGACCAGAGACCGGAAACAGGAATAGTCCAAAGTTGAATGCCCGGATGTTGAGGGGAGACTTTGACCTCGTACTTTAGAATGCCTTCGTATTTGAGTATGGATGGTCCAAAATTACCTACGCCACCCTGGTTCGTTAATACACGAACTAAAATGAAAGGAAAACTGCATGAAAATGGCTTAATTGAGGCAAATGGTAAGGATAAGGACTGCTGGATGGCCCGGAAGGCTACGAGAGCCGATGTGGCATAAACCCTTCTCTCAGATCCTTAAAGATGCTTCAAATTTCTGATGTAGATATAGACCTACCCCTCGTAAGAGACAAATGGTAAAGGAATTTCGTCAGCTAAAAAAACCATACTCGATTTCAGATTCGAGTTTCAGGGAATGTGCAAACTTTCTGGACAACACGCCGCAACTTTTAAGTTTCAGATCACAACAAAAATACAGAAACCACACCAATTACGAACATTCACAAGATCACGAACACAAAAATGCAATAGATTGAGATGCATCTATCGACTTTTAATCGGTGTTTAGCAAAAATCACATGGATCTTTTTCAGTGTTAGAATGATATTTGGATCATATGCATAGAGCCTAGTTCACAACTACTTTTAATTTATTTGGCGACTGTATGCAAGTTAGTACGCGCGCACCGCAGTTGTGACGTAAAACATGACACAAAAGCAGCGAACTTGTTGCATATCAGTTTCTTAACAAGAAACAAACGAAATAAAAAAAAGTTTTATTTCCTGGGATGAATGTCTTCAGAACAAGTACATCTTTCAGAGATAAATTTTAAAAATGAAAACCTGAGGACCTAAAATTATTAAGTACCGGAGCTTCAAAATAAAATTTGAATTATGTAACGTACCTCCAACATGTGTTTTCTCCTTTTTGGAGTCGCTAGAGGAGTCATCAAACGTTTTGAAGACTTTTAAAACAATAACAACAACTGCCACACAAACAACTATAACGACGATTAATCCAATCAACTTTTTTACTAACACCCCGTTTGAAGCGTTTCCGGAACGCGCTGCCACAGCAGTAATCATACTTGGTTGTTGTCGTCTGGTCGAAGCCCTGGTTAATTTTCGTCATACTTGATTAACGCGCGTAATAAGATTTGTTTCATACAAGTCTCTAGAAGCGTTTTAGTTCAGTACAGGGGAGGAGGGGGGGGGAGAGAGGAGAGATAGAGGCATTCCTATTAGTAAGAATATCCCCTCCCCTACCCAGTAATATTTCCTCTCAAGCGTTACATTACATTCATTTATTTGTTTAAGCAGGTTGATTAATTGGCAGCTGTGATAGCTGATGTGGACTGCTGTCCTAACCCACCTATCTCCCCCCAGGGGAGGACATCCATCACACAGTAATCTCGTGCGTGGGAAAGTAACGTCTCCTACCCCTAACCCTGCAGGAGACGGGACCTCCATTTATTCGTCCCTATCCGAGAAGACTAGAATATCTAACCATTTCTTGATGTTATAGAAAGGTAGCATATTCTCCTCAATGATTTTAAGACCCTGTGTTGGTCCGGCCGGGGCTCGAACCCTCGACCTCCCGCTCAATAGTCCAGCGCTTTATCCAATGAGCTAACCGGGAAGCGTTGAACTTCCAAGTCGCTACCTTCAAGAGTCGTGGCTCAGGTGGCACGAATTACTCCACAAATACAAAATGAACCTTAATAAATTCCAAAACGGCCGCGTCCAACACGAGATGTTAAACAAATCTACGCAGAAGAAATGACACCCAAAAGCAATCAATATACTTTGTCCGGAAGTTTCGCTCTTTAATCCGAAGCGACTGTCTTTGAATATAGGTAAATGCATTTACACTTAATACTTTTCTTCTTACAAAATCCCCAGACTAAAAAGTTTTCCATGGCCTTCTCTAACTTTTCAAGTGTACAAACTGAACTGATCTCTCTTTTCATATTAAATGTACTTCAAGACACGTATAGCACTACACCGTTAAATCCGTCATCGAGTTAAATAACTACATTAAAATAAATTATGAGTGCACTGACTAATATGGAATCATTAAAATGGTTTGTTCTGCCACGATACTGCAAGAACTTCAAGGTATACATATTTACAGTTAAACTTTCCGAATCGCTAATAGCTTTAACCGTTTATCTCCCGGAAGAGATTAAGAAGTCAATTCTTTCAAAATACACGAACAGAATACACGAACTGAGAGCTTAGGAGCGTTACCTTGATAGAGCACCAAATTCTCCTTACTTATCGACAAGTAAATGTATAGACACTGGTAAGGAGAACTGCAAATCAGATCTTGGGAGGTAAGAGGTTGAGAAGCTCTTTGAATAAGGTAACACACTGTACAACAAGGATGCGAGCCCACAGGTTTCCTTCCATAAGGAAAAAAATTATCTTTTCACAAAAAATAGAGATTAAAACTGATAGGACATTTAATGCTCAACGTGATCCCTTGGGCAATCCCTAGGGATACTTGAGATTATTCTATGGCAAAATCCCTTGGGATTAAGATTCCCCCGAAGACAACAAGTTTGCAGTTATTTCTTTCCCTTAGTATTCGAACAAGAACACACCGCAATGCAAGGTATGAAGCAAGTCACCAATCGCTTGACATTGTAAGCTTGTGTCTAGTTTTAAGACCCGGAAATCCCGAGAAAACTTTCGAGTGCATTTCAATTACGTGTCGTAATCCAAAACCAAAATAATCAGCAAATCCAATCGTAAGAGAAAGGAAAAAACTGAAAATGGATCTATTAGGGATCTTAAGCAACACCACGGCGACAATAAAGTGGTAAAAACAAATGATTTAAACGTAATCGGCAAAAAACAAGTGAGACTTTCGGCATCATCAACCTGAATAACAACGGTACGGTTTTCTACAGAACTGGACTTCTTCCATCACAGACCAACAGCTGCCTCTTTAGGTCTCTTTTACTAATAGAGTGAGCTGCTTCTACAACAAATCGCACGGACTTAATCAATCTCTGCAAAGGACACCTTGAATTCATGCGACTTGCTTCGGGGACAAAAATTGTGGTCGCACAGACAACTCTTTTTTTCAACAAATTTCAATTTGAAACGAAGGGAACTGTCGTTACAACTTGCCTTCGAAATTTTTTGCGGCGACCTGCGGTTGGGTAGCGTGCTCAAACCTGATGGATAGACCTGATGCATAAGGCACAGTAAACATATTTACTCACTAAAGGGGTTCAAAAGAGACAGACCACTTCCACTGTAAGGCGTCACCGTCATTGTTGCCTAAGCTACCTACTCCGGAAAACCCGAGTTCATGAGGTACCAAAAGAAAACAACTCAAGCCACTGACAATTGTTGGCTCCGACGTACGTAGGCAAAATCTAAGTGACCGAGCCCCCCAATTGGATTGTGGGAAAAGAAACAAATCAATATACTTTCAGAATGTTCCCCTTATACATCCCACATTTGCGTTACGAAGCCCAACTAAAGGCAACCTAAGACGGTAATATACGAATTCCTCTGTACGATAAAATAAACGGTACGTTCTCGGCAGCAAAACAGACAAAACAAATCCCTACACCGTGATAAAGATACACTGAAAACTTTTTCGCCACCAAACCGCAGAATTTAACTCTCTTATTTCCATTTTTAAATTATATCCAACACAATAAAGTATTTTTTCGCTTTTAAATTCAACTGGATGCTATTCGCTTTGGTGTAAACCAAAAACAAACCGGCAGAATGAGCGCATCTTTTCAGCGTTTTGCGGGAGAATGAAGGCCGAAGCGGGGAAAACTCAGAGGGCGAGTTCGAGCGCGAGAGAAGGAGCTCTTTCCCCTCGCGTGTGACTCGTGCCTGGACTCGAGAAAAATTGCGCCTGTTCTGTCTGTTGGAGAGTAATTACCTTCACTAGAGTCTGGGTTTAATGGATTGACAACAACAACAAAAAACTCACCACGGTAAGAAATGGCCTGCCTGCTTTACCACCGAGAAAGTTCACTATTGAGACGAGTTTTCTGAATAAAATAATTGTATCTCTGTCTGTGCAAGGTATTTATATTATGATTCTTTTGTTTCTTTTGTCATGGCGGCGTCGCTTTGTGATGCATCTTTTTCTTTTTCAGTATCTTTCTCTTTTTTCACCTTTTCTTCCTTTTTCTCTTTTTCTTTCTTGGCCCTCTTGGACGAATCTGCTGAGCGGCTACTGGAAAACAAACGTCGCGTTGTCAGACAGTGGTACATATATGCGTTAGAACTGATCAACAATGATATTGAAAGGAGAAATGAAAAGCCACACTCTCTCAGTGGTTCAAGGGTTAACTAGGATTAATACCCAGTGCTACTCACCTATCTGCGGCTGACCGTTTCGTTGTTGTCTTGACCGCAAGTTGGCCATCTTTCAAGTCTCTCACATCTGGTAGAATAAAGTCAACGCTACTACGTTAGAGGTAACGATTAAAACAAGACCTAGGAGAGTTTTAAACTTAATTGGTAACGTCGAGTTACTTTGATTCATTCTTAGTGCGATAGACAATTTCCCTTGGACCCAAGCTAAGTTTGAGCTTTCAACAGTCGTTTGGGGAACGTGGACCCACATAAAAGATGCAAAACTAATCTGAAAAGGAACCAATGTGGCTCGAGCATGAAGAAAATTAACACCGAATGGAACTGAAGGCCTTGAAAATTTTGCGCTTATCGTTAACCAAGGCTAGGACGGAGAAATTTCTCACCTTGAAGCCATCTCACTTGTGTTGCCGGACCATAGCTGGAAGGAAAATAACGAAAAAATAGTAATAAATACATAACACTTTAGTTTAGATCTTTCGTTCAACGCTGGTTAACCCTGCAATATGCACCAAAGAGTTATCTGTGACACAAAATGCCAAAGTAACAGCAAATGTTTTTCCTCACCCTTTATCATTCTTGGCAGCAATTCTGAAGATAATAGCGGGCTTGGTGGAGAAGTCGATATGCGCGCTTTGAAGAGTTGCCGTGCTGACTGTGCAAGTGGGTTGGGCACCACAATAAACGCGTACAAAGGCGAGCTGGACTGGGGTGGAGCTTGTAGAGGAAGTTAAACCGGCCACTGGCTTCTCGTCTGACGGATTGGCTGACTGACTGCGTATGGCCAGATACACGGAGTATTCGCTCACGTTACCCGCCGTATTGGACGGAGCTTCCCACGATAGATGGGCACCCTCTGCATTCTGCGGAGGAAATGAGAGAACGTTAATTTTAAATTGATGTTTCTAAATAAAACGAGGATAAAACTGACTTCACACAACACTAGAGCAAACCTTGCTGATTTTAATAGCTGACGGGGCTCCAGGGAAACCTGCCAAACAATAAAATAAGGTTGGATTTGAAAAACAAGAAAGAACTGCGTAGTGATATGACGGGGTGACATACCATGAACTGACATGGCATGACGTGACGTGCCTGACAAAATAATAATAATAATAATAATAATAATAATAATAATAATAATTTATCAATTCATAGTGCGCTTTTTACATGCAATGATCAAAAGCGCATTACACTTTTGATTAATTTAAAAATTAACTTAAACAATATAATATGTCAAACTGAGAATAGAACTGAATATAAAAGAAAATATAAAATATAAAAAGAGGGCATCGCTTGTCGTGGCATGACTGGAAATAGAGTGATGTAACGTGACAAAAAACATGAAACGATGTTGCATGACGTGGCGGAACAAAACAAGGCAATGCTTGTCGTGGCATGACTGGAAATAGAATGATGTGAAGTGACAAAACATGACAAGGTGTAACGTACGGTATGTCGTAACACGACGGGTAACTTATATCCTTTGTTAAAAACACGTTGTCTTTCATTAAGCAGGTTGTGCCGTAATGTGAAACACATGCACGAGAACCTGGAACCAAGATCTCCAGACACCTCTCGAAACACTAACAAAATAACAGTAGAGAGCTCGTAGAAAGTTGGGCATCGCCATAATGCTGACAACGTCTCACACTAACTCGATAATTTTTGGCGAGGACAATTTTTCGGCGTTTCTCTAATCAGCAAGAGGCCCCACATGAGCTTAACAAAAAATTTCGTTAAAAGTTCACTAAAAAGCTCCTCTTACCTGGCAGACACGTTTTAAAAGCTGACACATCACTAAATGGCCCTCTACCACACGCATTGATGGCCGCCACACGGAATTTGTAAGCTGTCCCTGGTAAAAGTTCCTGTTTCTTTACACTTTGTTCGGAGCTGCTTTCGACGTCAAGATTTCCCTGAAAAAATAAAGAAGCTACGTCAAATAATTTTTTGCCTTTGGCAAAAACAAAAACTATCGAAAGAACCACAGAATCAGCAGCCTATGGGAGCTTTCACTTGATACATCGGCTGAAAAGCGACGACCTAAACAACTCAATGACACAGTCCAATTGCTCTAATCTCAATTTAACCCTTGAATGACCAAGGCGGAATTTCTCCTTACAATATAAATACAATATCAAAGAGAAAAGTGATGAGAGTAAAAAAAAAAGTATCAATTAGGGGATTGATAGTTGATCCAACACCAAATTCTCCAAAGTAACATCATAAGAATTGTAAGACAGACGGTTAGGAAAATTAGCAACGAGATCTTGAGAGTCAAAGGGTTCCAGTCATTATTGAAAATTCTCTCTAATATCGACTTCGCCACAACATGACTTACATGATAGCATCACAAAAATACCCGACTCTTGTCTTTATGATTCTAACTCGTTACATCTCTGGCTTGTATCATAACGTACCTCGTTACTTGTGCTATCGTTCGATAAATAATAATGCGTCACCATCATAGAGATTCCCTTGACGATTCCCACATCATACCATTGATTCGAGGGCTGCAGTTTCCTTGTATACGTTGGCTTGGCTGGTCTTTGTACCTAATCAGGTGAGTAAACACAACTGTTCGCTCAGGCATTAAGAGATTTTTTACTCGTTAGTCTGAGGTAAAATGATCCCGTTTAACAACATGGAAGAGAATTTTATGTATCGGTTTTTCCCTTACAGATTTTCACCCTTGGTGCATAAGAAAAATAGTGCCTGCAACGTAATAATAGGCTCTTGCGTAAACGGCAGTCCGGCGTTTTCTTACTTCCCCTTGTGCGCATGTTTTTTTTTTTTTCTGATTCTATTCGAATTTTGACCTGTACTTGACTCAAAACAGGCCAATTGAGGATCAAAATTGAATTCATAACGGAAAAAAGAAAGAAAACCCAAAATCGTGCGGTTTCCGAGAATAAAATGTATCCTTATCAAATGGTGAAACCACATACGGTAATAACATACGAACAAAAGGTTCTTACCAGTGAGTACGGGTCACGATAATAATAAATATTCTTCTAGTCTTTTGCAAACTGGAAAACGTTAAGGTAATAATACCTTTGTTATTGTGGTCGGTGTCGCTGATCGATAAGTCGTTGCACCGACTCCACCGTTCACCGTCGGTGTAAAAGCAGAGCTGACTTGTGACGGTTTGGTGCTGGCCGTTGCAGGCGATGCTGTCGTCATTTTGGCGGGAGAGGCTGCTGCCACAGTCGCACCAGGCCTTGTGGATGACACCAGTGGGGACACAACGGCCACAGGAGTACTACTGGACACTGACGTAGACACAAGAGGGGTCGACACTGCTGAAACCACCGGCGTCCCAGTAACTGCTGTTGCTTTAACAATGCCAGCTGTTGACTTCACTAACCCTGCAGTGGACACACTTGCTGTTCTGGACAACTGCGTTGAAGTGGATGGCGCTGTGGATTGAGCGGATGTCACTCTTGCCACACTGGCAGCAGACAGGACTGGTGTTGGCGTTGTAACCGTTGCTATTACTGTTGGGGTTGCAGGTTTGGGTACGGTGGCGCTGACTGATACTGTTGTCTTTACAGGCTGCACACTTGATGTAACTGCAGTAGATGCTACAGTACCACGAGATGCCACCGTCGTTAACGTTCGAGCTTTGATTGGCGAGGATGTAATGGTTGCTGCGGACACTGCCGTTGTTACTATTCCCGAAGCACTGCTACTCGCCACCACTGTTACTTTCCCAGCCTGTGTTGATACTGGGGTAACTTGTTTGCTGATTGGTAGATTACCCATCGTAAGATTCTGTGTGGCGGAAGCCGTCGCTAACGTTTTTTGTTCAAGACCTTTGGAGGCTTGAGCAGAGGTAGGTCCAGAAGTGGACGACACCACTGGTGATGAAGTCACCTTACTAACAGCCACAATCTTTTCAGCTACAGCTGCAGAAGGAGTAGCACTAGCTGTAGCAGTCACCACTGTTTTGGCACTGGACACCACATTGGTGGTAGTTATTGGAAGCCTGCCGACTGCAGTTGAACTCTGGGTCGATGATGTGACTTTCTGAGGAGATATGGAAGAAGACACCAGTTGGGATGTGTTTGTAACCTTCACTGGTGAAGAGCCGGCTAGTTGGAGAACTGTCGGTGTCGTAAGCGTAGCTCCTTGAGCCACTTGCCCCTTCACATTTTGCAAGGTCAGCTGCACAGGAATACCACCCGGTCCAACTGCAGTCAGCTGGCCCTGAGGACCAACCTTCAATTGAGTACCCGGGGGTAGGTTTGTAGGAACTGTGACTGGAAGCTGCTGTTTTATTACAGCAGCTTGTCCAGTGGTTCCCGCCATAGCAGTGAAGGTCAGCCCAGCCGCACCAGGCATCTGTATAGATGAGGTGACTGGAATCTTGAGCACTGCTGTTCCTTGTACACTGGTCCCTCCACTTTGCACAGGCAATCTCAAAACTGTTCCAGTTGTTGTTCCGGCAGCTGCAGCACCAGCGATAGGTGTAGCCATACGGACAATGGTTGCACCTTGTAGCTGCGTTGCACCCACTTGAGAAGTGACCAACGTAACTGGTGCCGTTCCTTGAATTCCTGCTCCTTGAAGACGCATTACGGGGATACCCTGAGCATTCGTGATCATGGTAGCTTGGACACCGGGCGGAAGTTGGACTGGGGCTCTTAACAATGTCAGCCCCTGATTAGTTAGTGTGGAAGCTGGCAGTGCTTGATTGGCAGCCTGACCCTGTATGGCTGTCTTGGTACCAGATGCCACTGTAGTGGCGGCTGTTGCTGCAGATTGTCCCGTTGTAGAGACTGTAGACAGAGCTACAGAGGCCTTCATTACACCTGCCGCAGGACTGGCAGCTGGGCTCATCTTCTGTGCAACAGTCACAGGCTTCCCAGCTGGTGTAGCAGACGGAGCTTGTGCCTTAGGAGGCTGTGAAGGTGACTGCATAACGACTTTAGGGTTTCCAACTTGATTAACTGGTGTAGGCGTGACAGAAGGTGAAGATGCGATCTTTCCATTTGGTGGTGAAGCCTTCACAACTCCTGCTGAAGGGCTTCCTCCTGGCACAGGTGTTTTCATCAATGCAGGACTTCCAGACCCACTTGGTGTAAAAGGTGCTTTGACTGGTGTCGCAGGTGGCGTTGGAGGAAGCTCATACTTCTGTAACTGCAGTAAATAGGCATCCGCTACAAAGAAAACAGAGAAGGTAAGCTGTGTATCATGAATTATACAAGGATGACATTACACTGCATCTTACTATGCAATCAATAGTAGATATGTCTTAATATCCATGGACTTTCTCCTTTGATTCAACAAAATTACAAGTTGTCTCTATGTTGATGTGAGAACCCCAATTATTTCTCTCGATGATTTTAGAAAATGCTTTGATCAACGTTTCCCGCATCATTCTTACATCAGTATGCATATTCTCCATACTGTCCTCTATACATTTCCTGAAGTTCTGACAAGGAGAACTTGTTTTGCAATCAAAAGCTTCTTTAGTTGGTGATCATTTCCTTTATTCCCATAACCCTAATCTGTGATCCAGGGTGACATTGTAAGGAGAAATTAGATGCTAGTCACTCTTGAGGGTTGACCCTATACTTCCTAAAAGTGATTAACCTGTGACTAACTGCCTCCCGGTTAGCTCAATGGATAGAGTGCTGGACTGTTGTGCGGGAGGTCGAGGGTTCAAGCCTCGGCCGGACCAACACCCAAGGTCTTAAAATTACTAAGGACAATGTGCTACCTTTCTATAATATCAAGAAATGGATAGACATTCTAGTCTTCTCAGATAAGGACGAATAAACCGTAGGTCCAGTCTCCTGCAGGGTTGGGGGTAGGAGACGTTAATTTCCCACGCACGAGATCACTGTGTGGTGGATGTCCTCCCCGGGGATGGGATGGGTGGGTTGGGTTTCCAGGGTGTAGAAACCTAGTAGGGGAGTGAGAGTCCTATTGTTTCTACACCCACCTTATGGTAAATCTCTAAATAAATAAATAAATAAACTTCTCCCTATAATATCCAGGGGTTTCATTAAGGGCCGGGCACCTGGCAAATTGACCAGTTGTGAGGATGGTTTTGCCCACCTGGAGGAAAGTATATGTTAAAAAGAAGTACAGTTCAAAAAGTTTTGCCCGCCTTTGAAAAGCAGTTGTCCTACTCCTGAAAATGTTAATGAAACCACTGAATATCCATACATGATCCAACAAACAGGTAATGAGAATACTCAAACTTATCAGGTAAAAGTTGTTACCTTGATTAAACACCCAATTCTTGTAACCAATTTACAAAAAAAATGTGTCGCAACAAGAGGGGAGAATTCATAATCATATCTTGGAAGTTTAAAGGTTACAGGGTTATGGACTTTGACACATAGATGAAATGCCTTCTTGCATCAATCACTCATAAATCACTTATCCCTCGGTTACCTCTTCATTGCTGCTTCCATGGACTGTTCTGATGATGTCCTAATGCCCATTTACATTTTAGTGTCGTGCTAAAAGAACTTCCATAGAATCCACTAAGGATTTTCAAATTACAGTTTGATGAGAGTCAATTAAAATTGTAAACCTTACCAGTTGGTACAGATCCCCAACAAACTTCCAAGGTGGTGGTGCTCGCTCGGACCAACTGCACGCGACTTGGAGCAGGTGGTTTTTCTGAAATTTAAGAAAAGGCAGTTGCATACTTTGCTGGATTTGTACAATCATAATACATTTCCACAGCAGAACAGAAATGGAAACTCACCTGTTTCAAGATACCACAAATCTTTGCAGCACACCTTTGACAGAAGAAGAAAAGATTTTACGAGATACAAAATGGTATTGTTATTATTATAGCACTGTTTCCATCTGATGGAGGTGACTGAGATGATCCAATCAACTATGGGGAAACTCTGCTTCAACCTTTCACTCCTTCTACCTCACTATCAGTTCTCATTTTCACAATCCAGACTACTAAAGCGTGACTGACAATCAACTCCCTGCTTGGTATTGATGATGATGTACTCCTTCTTTGTCAAAATGTCAGTCACTGATACTGATAACAGCAATGTCGACACGCTCACCCACACAATCAGTTGTAACAATCAACTGCTACTTCTCAATTCAAACTGACTACTCAACAAATTTCAAGTGAGTGGATGGATGAACAGACCTGATTATTCCACGCTTTTCTGTAGCCATCTCGACCACTCCACAAATATAACCTGGTATTAATCTGACGAAACCAAATACAGCACCAAAATGAGATTCTATATCTCCAATGATTTATTATGCAACACGAAGAGATTTACTATCTCCAAAGTGTAAGACACGATCTGAAGTGAACTACCTGTTTTATGATCTGCGACTTTTTGTTAAGATTTGCACTTGACCGATTGATTACAAGATAAAAATTGTACTCAGCATGTTGTTAAGATACATACACTGCAATACTCATGACCACCTAGTGTTCTGATTTGTGGGGATTTTTCCTCAATTTATCCTTATGTAACATTTAAAGCGAGCAAACAGATACGATACTGACAGCAACCTGAGCTCATCTCAGTGTTCATAAAATCAAAAGGGTGGGAGAAAAGCTTCTTCTGTTGGATTTATGCTACACTATCACCACCACCACCTCCCAGATTGTCCAGTTTCCCTTAGAATTTGTTGGTGTACCTTGTACTCAATTTTACGTCTTGGTGATGAGCCACACTTTGATAGTTAAGTGTTTTGCCAAGGAACACAATACAAAGTGTTCACACCCAGCCCCTTTACTCCACAGTTAAGTATGCTTTTCATTTGCCCAGCATATTTCCAACTGTTTCATGTAACATGACCACAACAAATAGCCAACACTCACAGCTACACTACAGTGTCCAGCCCTTGCTCTTGGTATGGAGTCGTCATACTGATCCATTACTACATTCTCCCAAGTCATTGTTTCTAGAAATAAATAAATAGTCAACAAATTTAGATCAGTGTTTCACCTATATATGAACCTTGCATGTACCACTAGTGAAAAGTTGAATTATCTGTAAAAACTGAAAACAACTGTTGGTACAGTCAATCAGTTTTGCTAGGAAACAAGTGTTCCCTCATGTGCTATTTGGAAGTGTAGTTTAATGAAAATTGATGAAGTTATGCAATTTCATACTCATCATTAAAGATTTAATACCTTTAATGAACCAAATGATCCAAAAATTCACACCAATAGTAAATTTAACATGCCATGTCAAAGATATATTAACCAACCTAAATTTAAGCATGCCAAGGAATTAGTGCATTTCCATTCTTTCTCATCTTGTCGCCCTTTCACTTCATCCATCACAAGAGGAACCCAGCCCCCAAACACAAACATCCTGCAATTGAAATCAGCAGAACATTTATTCTCAACAGGAAAAATTCCCAACATAACAAAAAATTCTTTTTGTGGATATGATGCAACACAAACCTATTCCCAATGGTGGTTGCTGAGTGAAGACTTCTAGGAAGAGGAATGGCATTATTGATGGCTGGTTTTGACCATGTCATTGTGTCTTGATAAAAATAATAATAATGAAAAAAAAAAATAAAGTTAATAAAATTTGGTGACACCGACACAGATAGAAGCTTTCCTGCTGGAAGGCATCAGAATATATCCCTACAAAATATAGTTATTTTATGTTTGAGATTAACTACTTTCCCATGAATGCATGCAGAGGAGAGTTTGCAATCCAAAATCACATAAAAACAGAGATCACTTAATAGGGAGTGCATTTCTGAATAATTACATACCAATGTCTAATTGGTGCAGATCACCTAAGCGGCAGCCACTCATTCCACCATAGACAATAAGCCTGGGTCTCTTGTTGTCTGAATCAGAAGTGGCAACACATGTGTGTGACTCTCTTGGAGAGGGAGTCATGCCAAATGTTGCAGGCATCTCCCACTGTAGGTTACTGCTTGTCCGTATATCAATAACATAAAGATCATTCAAATACCTATAAATGCATAAAATTTAATTCAATATTCCTTCTTCAAGATAGAAACTGTCATCACCTCTCTTGATAGATGAACTTTAAAACAATAGAGAAAGGCAAGATTAGACCAACAGGGAGGTTGGGTGAAGAGAAGAGGGTGTAGGTGTAGTTCGAAGATAAAGCGGGACATGCACTTGGACACTTGCTTCAAGCCTAGCTAATGAAATATAGATTCTCTATCATCTTCCCCAAAATCTATGATTTGTGACTACAACTTTCTATGTTATAATTTTTAAGACCTACTACCACCCCTGATATTGTTTTCTGGATGTATTTCAAAATTCACGATTAAATGAAAAGGTGTGATGATATTGCATTTCAAGATCATGTTGAACAGTTAACTATACATTCAATTTGATATTCTCCACACATTTCATCCTCACAAGTGACCAATGAATAATTTTCCTCGCATCATCATAAATTGTCAAGCAAAAAGGCAATGAGAACAAAGAAAAAGATCAACTTTATGATACACCCTACTTGGGCTTAAATTTCTCAGAGCCACAATCATATGAAATGTATCGCAGACAGTAAGGAGAAATATATTGAAATATTAGGATTGAAAGCATATATCTGTCTTCTCCAAACAATGAATAGTTCAACCATTTCAAATGATTTGACTACGCAAGTAAGCCAGACCTGGGGATGTTGTTCTTTGGGTCATCACTGTCATTAGCCAGACCAGCAAACAAATATGCTTTGTGACCAACAGCTGTAAAACTGTGTCCAAGGCGAGGACAGGGGTGTCCTCCTGGAGGTTTAGGTGCCTTTGGTTTGAGTTTCTTCCATTCCCACCTACTTGCTTGAAGTTCATACATCTAACCAAAACAAAAATGATAAAAAGTACATTTTCAGTTATTTCATGCTAATTGAAAGAGTACTGTTGGTGTATCTGGGTTGTTATAAAGTGAGAATGACAACTACATGCACATTGTTCTTCTTTTCAGGATGTAACTGGCAAAATGCACTGCTTGTAGTACCTCTTACAGCTGCCTAAAATCACTTGGAATTCTTTTAAAGGTAAGGCAAGGTAAAAGGATTGCTTTAATGGTTAAAACTTTTAATCTGTCATGCTTACAATAAAGGAAAAGACTGCATACAGCATGGAAAGCCTGTTGGCCAATACAGCCAGGCATATACCCCCCTAGTGTCATATGGAAGGGTGTGGGGAATAAACTTTTAAGTGACTTTTGATAGAACATTTAAATCTCCTTATATTTCACAGTAAAATGCAAGAGTATTTGAAAGGCAAATCCAGACGTCTATCATATATAATTTAGGGCCTCTTTCCATGCAACTCTTCATCTCAAATTTGCATTTGAAAGAGTTCTATTTTTTTTAATATCTTTTGTTTTCTTTTGAATTGTATAATTTATAAGTGAATCCTTTCATAAGCCTTTGGTTGGCTGGTGTCACATAAAATAAAAAAAAAAAACTAAGTGACAGTAGTCAAGAGAGGCTGATAGTTTCTAAAGAAACTGTTTGGGGCTGCGTCGGTGGGGGTAACGAAATAGTTTGGATATATCAACAAAGTTGAAATGGTAAATTGGCCACCGTAACAATTACAAAAGCTGACTTCTCACACACCCCTGGGAGCCATGTCAAGCCAACCACCGCAAGCCTGACCTTTATTCACACAATAACAGCTATCAAATTTTACAAGTATACATGGAGTTTCAAAACATGAACTAGTTAAGAATCGAGACAAAATCTAAAATCGTTTAGAAGTGTAATGAACAACTGAAAAAACTCTTGGGTGGGTGAGTGGGAAGGTCAAGCAATGGCGGTCAACAAAAAACAACTGACCGCCTTACACATCACATGACCTTAACCCATCCCCAGGCCCCAGCGGTGTGTGAGAAAAACATTTTCCACTTATTTCGTTCCACTCAGCCAGTGGAAAATCACCCTTCTCATGGGTTAACGCTTGAAATGTCAGCTTTTGTAATCGTTACGGTGGCCAATTTACCATTTCAACTTTGTTGATATATCCAAATTATTTTGTTACTCCCACTGACGTAGCCCCAAACAGTTTCTTTCGAAACTATCAGCCTTTATAAATTCACTAGAGCCTAACATTTCTTTTTCAACTAGAACACAAACATGGACACTTGTAATGAGCCAAACCATATGAGGGGTTCATCTGTCAAGCATTAATAGTGCTCATAAGGTCAGAAGTGTTGAACAATTTTTTTTGTCTTCTGACTTTGTGATAACTTAAATTTACCCCACATGACATTCACTAAGCCCAAATAAAGAAAAAAAAAATAGTTAACAGAGTAAGTATGGAGAGAAAAAGTCATACTTTGAAAGAGTGAAGAAAAATTTGATAATGCTGCTTCTAAAAAATGTTACAAGTTATTGACATGTTCATGAAAGGGATACTTAGAATGTTTACTCTAGTTTTGAAAAGGTAATGTTTATTTAAGATAAATAGCTAAGTTCCTTTCAAACCCTTTAATAACTAAGTTGTCAAATTAATTCACTTAGGCTAATCAATGTTTTTCTATTTACAATTTACCACCTAAAAAGAACATAACCCATTAAAATTCAAAATCACTGCTGTTTGGGAAAATATATTTTATGAACCAGCCATCCATAGTAAGAGGTTTAAACTTGAAAACAGCAAAAGAAAAAAATCAGACAATAAGGTTACTTTTTAAGGGACAATTTTATTATGAAGCAATATTTATTAAGTGTGACTGGCATTTGAAAATAATTGCAAGGCAAAATTCATGAAATTAGACTCATTGGGAGGCATGTGTTTAAATAATCCAGATAAGGCAGGAATCCTTTTTAGCAGGGAAGATAATGTGATATTCAAAAAACCATCTGTTTTACATTAAATGTCTACTGATTAGCAGACCAGAGATTTTATTTTCGTTCCTTTTGAAACATTTTCTTACATTTTGGTAGTAAATAATTCATTTTCACTGATGATGAGGAACACAACCACTGACACATTCTCAATACACATGCAACATTTGCAAAACAGGTTCAGACCACCAACACCTTACCCTTAATACATCTCAAGATTTTCTTTTTGATTTCTAAGCCAAAACTTCTACATGCATTCCTCACAGGAAGAACACTTCAGCACTGTTAGTTTTACTTTCACATTCCAAAATTCAATGTGTTAATGATACCAAACTGATATTATGATGAGCAATCAGCAGCCATGAAGCATTGCTTAGATTTCTAGTCAAAATAATTATCACACAGCTAAAATAGATTGGTAAACCTGTGAAATGACCAAGTTGGATTTTAAATTAGAATCATAACCCTTTTAAAATTTCATTTAAAAAACCTAACTGAAAGGACTTTTTTCATGCAAGTCAAAATATAGTTACATAACAGTAGCAAACAATTTTACAGTTTATCATTAAAACAGAAATTACTGTCAGACATCATACTTTTTCCATGTGATTACCTAAGTTTGGAAAGCACAAATTTAATGTGACTGAAATTTCTACTCTAAATATATATTCAATTTTTTTTTTGTAGCATTTTCAGGGCTTGACACTAATGGTAGCCCACTAGCCACAGACTGATAGAAATTCAGTTTTGGCAAGTGGCTTTCGATTTCCACCACCCAGTTTGGCTGGTAAACAGACTGAAATTGTCATAACATCTAAAAACATCTAAGGTGTCACTAGCCATTCGGCTAGTAAGTTGAAAAGTTAGTGTTGAGCCCTGATTTTGTATGTGTAGCTCAATGAAATGTATCTGATAGATTATCACTTTCTAATAAAAAATAATTTCCTTTAGAAAAACCAAAGTGTCGGATGACATAACACTGCAAAACGTTTACTTCTCATGACTAACTGATATTTTTTAAGGGAAAAATCTCATCTTGAAGAATTCATTGATTGAGTTCTATACAATGAAAGTACTGTTGTACAACCTACTCTAAACAAAAAAAGTAAACAAATCATTCAAAATGGTGTAAACCTGTTCAGACCAAAAATGGAAGCCTATGACTCCAAGGATACTGCTTTACGTCAACAGAAATTACATGTACTTTTCAACAGATCCTTCCTATATGCCTTGATCAAGGTCACATATAAGGAAAGTGAAATAAAAGACTTGAGATACCAGGTCCAATAACCAATATCTGATTTTTGCAATGTGTAACTTGAGACAAGGCCAATATAGGCAAGATGTTCAAATATGATATTCAGTACGATATTGTGTATCAATTTTCAAAATATTTAGGTGCAGAAATGGGGCAAAAAAAGGAAGTCGAACGCGAATTTTTTTAAAAAAAAAAAAAAAAAACGTTTGAGTCAGAGCTGATTTAAAAGACATGTTTTATCCTTTGATGTACGATACAGTGCTTAGATAGCCCAATTCAGAAAACAAGAACGTTTGAAACAAAGAAGAAATTTACGCAAGAAATGCAAGCGATCGAACAGTTCAGCGAATGATTTTAAACTTTCAACGCTCTAAGAATCAGAAAGACAGCAGGTATGCCATTTCACGCACGATTCAAGTGTAAAAGAGAAAATCGGACATTTCAAGGAGACGTTTTTCCACTAAAATAATAAAAAGGATTTATGATTGCCCTTGATTTAGCGGAAGGTAAACACAATGGAAAATGCGCACGCAATCTGGAATTTAAAAATAGACTGAATTACTTAAATTTATGCTCCGTATAGATCTAACTTTTCTTATATTGAAGCGGATATCACAGAAGAAAGCCAATGTTGCGTACTTTAAGCTTAATGGATCGCCTCTCAATATAAAAACAATGCACGCGAAACCTAATTGTTTACAAAGATATTTTTTTCTACGAAAAAAAAACCTGGACATTTAAGCGCTCACACATATTGCCACCGAGAAAAGAAAAGAAACAAAGAACAGCATAAATAAATCAGTGAACAGATTTTCAAGGTAAACATTTTTAAAATACAGAAATAAAAGTGATACAAATGTACAAAAGAGGTAAGTTACCTCATTAGAATATCTTCCGTACTCAACCATTCCTCCGAATATAATTAGTCGTGTTCCATCAGCGATAAATCCGTACGCAGCACAACCCGGCGGAATATCTCCTCGCACAGCAGGAACAAACCATTGATTCGTCGCTAGAGAGTAAATTGAACACATTATAAGATTGAGAAATAACAGAACTACTTAAGCAAGGGCACTGAGCCATCGAAAACGCATCGTAAAATTCTGGCGCGAAGACAAACGTCATAGAGGCCGCCATGTTCTGTACCCTTCCGCGCTGAGTGTTACCTGTGTTATACACGTGAAGCTCGTCCACAATTCCCTCATTTCCACCACCAAATACGACCATAAGTTCTCTTATTGCTACGGCTCGATGGCCATGTCTTGGCCGCGGCACAGGGCCAGTAGAATTTGTTACACGCTTCCATTTCATGGTAGCCGCCATGTTGTTGTTATACGGGCCATCGCAAAAGACAATAAGTTTACCCACAAGCTATTGCGCTGTTTGCTTTCGGTTTAGCGCGCCGAACACCCAAGAAACTTCCGCGCCTCGATAATTAGTCGGAAAGTCGATAAGCAATCGTAAAGGGTGATGTCACTAGTCAACCTGGTTTGATCGATCAATCAATCAATCAACTTTATTCAACGAAGGTAACATAGAACAGTGCTATCGATGTGCTCGTGTTGACTATCGAACGAAAGCGGCTTTGATATAAAAGGGTTTTTAGAGCTAAGGTTTAAAGAACTGAAAGAAGGTACAGCGTTCTTCCGTCTTAGCTTTCAACGAGAAAATGAAACGAGAACACGTGCTGAATTGCAACTTTTCTGTTTGGTATCCAAAGTTCAAGAACATTACCATTAGGAGCCGGGTGATTCCTCTTTCGAAGGAGTTCGTGGATTATCTCAAAGCTGACAATGTTGTTCTGCCCGGTGAACCAGTTGTCACTAGAAATTCAGACGACGAAATCGAGAGTGATTCTGACGAATGGCAAGCTTTGGAAGAAGACCCAAGCGCACAAACCATCTTTGCTCCCGAGTTCAACGAAATTGACTCTGGAATCAAAGAAGCTATTCTCGATTTGAATGGCAGTGCTTTCCCCAAATTGAACTGGAGGGCTCCACTGGACGCCTCTTGGATCTCTTTTGACGGTACACTCAAATGTAATTCCCCTAATGACATTTATCTTCTACTAAAGAGCTCTGACAACATTTCCCAAGTATTATTTGAGACTTTTAAACACTGTGAAGACGCAGAAGGGGAACTACAGGATGGTTTTGAACTTGTACTTCGGAAATGGAAAGATATAAATCCAGGAATGGAATTCCGATGTTTTGTGAAAGATCGCAAACTCATTGCAATCTCTCAGAGGGATGTTGCGAGCTGCTACGAGTTTCTTGCACAAAACGAAGAGGACATTTGTAATGACATTGCAAAGTTTTTCAACAAGAAAATAGCTTACAAATTTCCAGACAGTTCATACACATTTGATGTTTACAGGTATGCAAACCAGAAGGTGTTATTGATTGACTTTAATCCATTTGGTGCTCAGACAGACCCCTTGTTATTTACATGGGAAGAGCTCACAGACCCCCCTTCGACAATCAGTGATAATGATGATGAGTTTAAAGGTGTGTTCAAGTATGTGACAGGTTCAGCAGGGGTGCAACCTAATCCTGCATACCTCAGCAGAATGCCAACTGACATTGTGGACTTAGCATGTGGTAATGACATGAATAAGTTAGTTGATCTGTTGAAGGCGAGAGATCTGATTGGTCAACCTGGTGAGGAATCTGATGAGAACTGATTGAACGAATCTGACTATCTGACTACATTTGCGATTAAAATATTTTGCACCTATTTTGCACCAGTTTCAATGGCTCTTTCTACAAATTCAAGATTCTGCATTATACAAGCAAGATTCTAATTATCAATCCTTTCAGTGCTGATATGTTAAAATAATTATCCCAACATGACTCTAGTCTATTCTTGAGAATTCTGTGCATAGTATACTATGAGGATTTGCTTTTGTTGATGAATGTCATAATTATGAATGTCATAATTCTCATCACCTGTCTGCCTGACAGCATTTTAAAATTAGAAGAAGAACTTATGAGAACTCCTAAAGTTTCTGTAAATTTAGATATTAAGGACCTTGGTCCCAACTGCTGTTTTTGTGGAATTTTAATGGGTTAGCAGAACATGATGTCATAGCTGCTATATTGAACCTAAAAAATTATATAGAGAAAAGTGTGGAGGCAACAGAATGTAGAAAATGCATACTGATGCAAGGGCATAAAGGTAAGGTTGCTATGTAAATTTATTATCCAATTGTGCTTCATAGAGTACAAATAATGCGCAAGATGAGTACAAATATCACATGATATTTGTAGTCCAGAAATATCTGCTAACTTTGCCCACCCTCAAATAACAATTTGGCATGTTGGATAATAAATTTCTTATTAGATGTTTTGTTGTGTGGTATCACTGATTATTATCCAACTACACTTCGTAGAGTACAAATAACGGCATAGACGAGTACAAATATCATGCAGTATTTGTACTCTAGAGTACCGGTTAAACAGGTTTTCTCGCATTGCACAAGCGAAGAGTTAAATTGTAGTTACGAAAAAAAAATGGTGGACAATTTGAATCATATTTCCGACGACGAAGAGTCAGAATGGCTGGCAAATATACATCCAAGTTTATTAGATGAATCGAATGAAGAAAAACAGCTAGAGGACCTGGAAATTTCTTTATTTATTGAAGAAAATAGAAACAGCAACACGACAACGTGCCAATTCCGTTCTGCTTCACATACTTGTGTCACGCACTCCCATAAATGAATATCGGTGAAATTCGCCCACACTGAAATAACAGTTTGGCATGTTGGATAATAAATAACTTATTAGACGTTTTGTTGTGTAGTATCACTGAGTATTTTTACTCGTTATTCGTATTTTGACCTGCCCTACTGGCTCGTCAAAATACGGCACAACTCGTAAAAATACTCAGCGATACTACACAACAAAATGTCTAATAAGATTTATGTATTTTTACTTGTTGTTTGTATTTTGACTCGCCCTATGTGCTCGTCAAAATACAGCACAACTTGTAAAAACACTCAGTGATATTGCACAACAAAACATCTAATAAGATATATTTATTTTTTACAAGATTTTTGTTGTTGATGTTATTTTTTTTCCATTAAATAACAGATAAGCTCAATATCTCTGTTTAAGTAATTTTATTTAATCCAAAACTCTCAAGGAGTTAAATCACTTTAATTTTTTAGAATAGGCTAGCCTAATAATTTTTTTAGCAGCAATTGAATAGTATAAATGATAACAATAGTCAATTTGATTACTACTTCCAGTATCCTTCAGGTCAATGTTTGTTGTGGAAAATAGTGTTTTAATCAATAACTGAACTTAAGTTAAAAAGGAAAAAATTAAATGAAACAGGGCAATTTTGGCATTATTTTTCAAATGTCCTTTTAACTCTGAATTGAAAATACTTGTAAAATGAGCCCTTTCAGTACAGAAATTTCACTTCATTAGGAGTAAGCATTATAGACAAAAGCTACCGGAAGTTCAATTGTTATCCATTTCCAAACTTTCTCCCCCTTTGTGACGTCACGCTTATGCACCAGTCCCTTCTGTGAGTAGTGCACCGGTAGGCAGTAATGCTTACAACCAGGACATACAGCCTTCGTCATGAATCGAGGGATACGAGCTGGATCGTCATCATGGTCCCATTTCCAAGGGCACTCGTAGGATTCTGGGATCTGTCTTGAGGCCGTAGCACGGCTTCCTGAAGACTCTAAGGATGGTTTCTCGACGAAAAGAAAGTTACGACGAAGATGGCGAAGTCTCTTGCGAGCCCCTCGTCTTCGAACTTTCGGGCAGGGAATTTGAAACGATAAAGAAATTTCACGTAACAGTAAAAAGATCAAAAACAGCTGAAACAAGGAATAATAAGAACCGTGGTTACAAAAGCTCCTTTTAAAACTAGATTCCTGGAGTCCTTTTGCGGAAAACTAATGGGATTTCAGTGTAACCCAGAAGTTAATCTACTCTTCTCTGATTAATTTTGTTCACACGAGAGTTACAGAATGCCACTTGTAGCTAGAGATAAATGATTATTTTGGAACAGATTCTGCTCCAAAATTCGCTCTGCTCTTTATGGCTTGTGTCTGAATAATCTCTTCTTTTTTTTGTGTTAGGAATCGGTTCTTCAGCTCCTTATTAAGAGATTTTCAGTTATGTTTCTAAAGGTTCTCTTAAAAATCAGGTCTTTTCTCTTAATTCGAACTTTAATTTGTAAAAGAGCACTAGTTTAAAGATTTCTTTTTTGGGGTTCTCTTAAGATTTTCCTGTTATACATCCTACTCATACCCATGCACTTGTGCGACTGATACCAGAAACAAAGTCCTTTTTGCTTCGGCATAGTTTAGCATTCTGAAACAATTGATTTACGTGTTTTAAGAAAATTCTTCGTCGAAATGAGGCGTCAAAAACTACGTCTGAATTAAATGAAGGATTTTATACGGTTAAAAGAGCAAAGGGAGGGAAAAGAAAAAAGAATCTTGAGAGAATTATTTTTTCACCCGAGGATCATTACATGGTGCAATTACAATAATTCGAAATACAAGTTCACCTTTGCCTTCCAGACGACATTCATTTTCCTCTTATTTCAAAGTTCTACAGTTTCCTTCAACCCGAGATGCTGTAAAAGTGTGGTTCAACTGGTTTTTATATGCCACGTATAACTGAGATTCTGAATCAGAACAGGTGCATTTATGTTAATTGTATCTCTGTTGGCGATAATTGCAAGGTTGTATAATTCCACTTGGCACGACACTTTGCAGTAACATTCCCCAGACGTATCATCCGTTGAAAGGGAGGCCACCCATGCAAAACAAACACAAATATTAAGTTGACATTGTAGGGGCCAGACAAAACGGAATTCATGACAAAAGTTTTGAATATCGAGCTCGCGAACCACTCTAAGACGTCAGTGGGCAAAACCGTAATAGAGCTTGAGCTCTCTTTGCATTTCACACCGGGGACTAAATTACTAACTACTGATGATGACAGTGAAAGTTAAACATATTTCAACTCTTTCCTCGCACAAAAAGGGAAACATTATACATAATAAGCGAATATCCTTTGAATGCGTGTGCTTTCCCACATGCATAAAATTGCCTAGAAGGTTGATGTTTGAAATGTACTTTCGAGACAGTAGGATGTCCTATTTGATGTGGTATCTTTCCATTAGTTTAGCTTTCTTTTTCATTTGTATTTTGCTGTAGATTAAAGCAATATTTTAGTTCATTATTTTATGTTTATATCCTTTATGATATGACTTAACCATTAAAAGGGGCCCAGTTAAGTGTGAGTGTGCTAAATTAGTATTCATAATATACGTCGTGATCTCCAGTAGTGACTTCATCACTCACGGTCGAAAGCGGGCGGAGCGTTCTATTCTTGAGGGGAAAGGCGAGGGTCGTTAAATTACCCAAAAGACTTTCTGCGCGATAAAAATTGAAGATTAATTCAACCGCATAAGCTGTCAAGAAAAAAAAAAAAAAAGCTCGATATGTAGAAAGGCTAAAACTCATTTCTCATGAGAAAGACCTTAAAACTGTTTCTGAAAACTAGAGCAATAAAATAGCTTTTTGATCTAGCCACACGAAACAATAAGACTTTCCCCAGTTCCCGGTGCCACCGACTCAATCACGTGGTTAATGACGTAACAGCCACCAGGCAGTAATGAGTATAATTTCACAGTTCTACTTTCTGCATATCAGCCCTCGAAATCAACGCCGGAAAAGTTGATTTTTTTACAACAGCTTTCGCCTTTTTGATATAAATTGATATCATTGGACTCAGGTTGAAGACAGCGATAATTTTAATTCTTTCTCGTTGTGATACAAACGAAGGGGAAAAACTGGTTTTGCGATTTCCAGTGGCATAAAAAAAACTTTAGCTTTGGTACGTGGCATTCTGTTTTTTTATGGAGTAGTCGGAAAAGTGAGCGAGAGGTCGACGAGACTCGACGAACGTTCTCTGGTCGCTTACGAGTGATAAACGACTCTGACTCTGTTCCTCAAGAAAGGCACATAATTTAACTTCCGATAACTCAATTTATCAATGCAGACGATAAACGTTTTTTTTTTTTTCGAATCAAAACACATGCTCGGTTGAAAGCTGCCAACAGTTTATGATTAGAAGGGTCGAAAATTCTCATAGAGACAGTCTCTTCTCGTCGCCGATATACCACCTCAGTCTAATCCGGCCGAAGCCTTGGCGACTAAATGGACTTTAAAGATATCGTGTGTACAATATATATCATTACTCCTTCAACTGTATATTTTCGTTGATTTTATTTCAACTTTTAACAACTATCATCGATTCAAGGCTAAGTTTTATAAAGTGTGTGGTGTTTTGACTTGCACGCCAGCGCTTCGCCACATTGTTCCCAACAGTGGGACTCATATTCCGTGAAAGTTTGCAAACATGTCGGGGCGGCGTGGCAATTTGCCACAAATATAACTGTAACATCCCCGTGATGCCATTTTGTTGAAAATATTGGCCTGCGCAGCTATAGAAAATGTCGTGGCTCCATTGGCCAGTTTAAAGCGTTCATTGTTGATGAATATATATTTGTGTCAAAGTAAATTCCACAGTTATAGCTCGCTGACATGAGCCTGTTCAGTTTCCTTGTTATGCAAGAAGCAAACAAAAACGACTGAGTTGATGAGTTGAATATGTTTTATTTTTGGAGAAAGGTGAGTTTTTAAATTTTTTTTAAATTTCTTAGGTCTTTTTTTACGTAAAAAAAGGAAGATTTATTGTTATTTTTTTCCTTTAAAACCTTTGAACTCTTAATAATTTTCTTCGCATAAATTTTCCTCTAACGGTAAAAATTCACTTCCTAGGTTATTGAAAATTTTGATTGCTCGGCCCGGAAATTGCATATTCAATCATTCTACCTTGCGACATTGTAATACTTAACAAACGCAGAAGAGAGATTTTCATTCTCAAAATGTACAAAAAAAAAAAAATAAATGAAGTTCAAAATGGTTGCTTTGATTTCGGTGCCTTGAGCTGCAATCGAATTTGAATCAATGAAGAGTCACAGGTTATATTCTGTTTATCTCGTTGCATATCACTGTTTCTACCGGTATTATTATAGGAGCATACTATCTCGTTTGAACTTAGTACATGATGATCTCTGCGTTACCAGTATGTTTTGCCAATGTTTTGTTGGTAGATGTGTTACTAGGGCATCTGACTGAACTAACATTGTTTCCTTTCTAAGGGCATTGACAAACCGTGACATTCCCAAATAACATTGAAAGAGAAATGGTTATACAAATTCTCTGAGCTCCTCACTCGGCTTTTCTTCTTAAAACTATGTGAAATCTCTGAAAAGTCTTGCTGATCCCAAGAAAGCGGCGAAGTAATGTAAAAAGCTTGTTTCAAAATTTCAAAACTTCAATTTACTCAAAAATAAGTCAATAAATTGCCGCTAGAACAAAAATAATCAGTATATATATTTCCTTTATTATTTTAGAAATTTTCTGCCATAGTTGTGGTTATAACTCTGATCTACTCATCAATGAAAGTGTCCAGTTGTCCAGTTCAGCGTCAAAATCCTCAGCGAGTACTTAAGCGCCTCTTCCGTAAATACATGTTTGTAGAAAATCCTTACCCTTCACAGATCCACTTATCATTAACTCCAAAACGCGTCCGTCGTCAAATCGCTGTACAGACACCAAATGCTACAATGTGCCCCTGGCGTTGGACCCTAGACGACAACCCGGATCGCTTCCCTCGATTTCTGACCAAAGCCGTGTGCCCGAATTGTAAGCATTTCTGCCGAGCGGTGCTGTATCACCACAAAGGACTGATGCAGAGGTGTGACTTCAGAATAGGGAAAACAGTTTGGAAATGGAGTTTATTTGAACTTCCTGTAGCATTTGTTCTTGACCCTTAATAACTCGCCTTTTTTAATTCAAAAAACAAAAATTTTAAGAAGTTCACCACATCTATAGGTTTCAAGGAATAACTGAATGAAAAAACGACTTTAGAACAACAAAAAATAAACAACACATAAGGTAACTTTTCTCTTTAGACTGTATATCAAAAGAAATGTTCCGAGACAGTAGGTAGGTTCAATGAATTAATAAATTACGCTATCACGCTGTTCTACGCATACTATTTTACAGGAATAATGTCCCTCCCACTCAAAAATGAGAAACAGAATGCGATGGGAGCCATACTGATGACAACTCCTGCTGATTCTTGGGCCGATAAATCAGAAACCTCGTGAACATGTAAGTCCTAAAACTTCCTGGCTCAGTTTTCATTTTTATCCTTTTGAAGTTAGAGCAATTTTCAACTGTGTCGAAAGTAATCCGGCTCTGCACTGCATGGTTTTAGTTTTACTTTACTTTGCTCTGTAATTGGTCCAGAAAAATCGCGTCACTCTATCAACCAATCAGATTTAAAACTAACACCAATCACGACTTGATCACATGCGTTTTCCCGCGCTTTAGGCAGTTCGCGTGTTTTTACTCTTAGTTCTCATTGGCTCTTCACGGTATCTTAATTTCTACCGAATGGCCACTGTTTTCACTTTGGTTTTGGTTATACGACACTCATCATTAATTGCGGAATAGCGCTCTGTTTACTACTGAGTCAAGTATCACGCTATGATCCTGTTCCACTTCAGTTCTCACAATGGGCGACTTTACAGTGAGTTTTGCAGACTGGTCTAAAATTTATTCAACTATAGGAAGGCCAGTCGCAAAATATACTGTCATTCAATTCTAATGGCTTGCGAATTCACTTGATAGTTCTGTCCGTCTGATTGCTAAAGCGAGCGTTAAAACTCTGCGTCACATACACTCGATATCAAGTTGCTCAGCATCAGCATCAGCTTCCTTCCTCGGTGAATGAATGTTCCAAAGTGGCTCTTTTGTTCCGGCCCACTTCATACGCTGGTAACCTTCGCGCGAAATTTTCTGAGGCCTGAATTTAAATGTTGACAAACCCCTAGAATTATATGACGTGTAAAATACAGGCTTAGACTGACTCCTTTCCAGACTTTCTTCGTACTCGTCATGCACTCCTACCAAACGGAAACATTGCGTGACAGCTTGCGAAGCGTAACGCAAGAGGATACCGCAACAAGTCACGTGCGGTGTAATGGTGTGAAGTACCAGCTGTTACTGTAGCACATCATTCATCATCCCTTCACACAAACAACTTGCTTTAGCGTGTGAACTACATCCACCAGGTCACTCTGTGCTGCCATAACGTCATCAATGTCCTTGTAAGCCATTGGTGTTTCGTCAATGACGTCAGCGTCTTTACGACACTCCACGCCATGTGTCGCTTGTGCGTGATCGTCAATTGTGAACATTTTCCTGGCTTTGGCTCGTGACATGACACGGCCGGCACCATGGCTACAACTAAAGAGGTATTCAAATTACATTTTAGTTCCTTCATCACTTATTCACAAAGAATTGTAAATATTGTGAATATTGTGAAGCACTGTTGGATAAGAGACTGCGCCATGCAAAAATCCTCATTATTGCAATTATCATCACTGTTTTCATTATTATTTTCTCCATCATTATTATTATTTCTACCATTATTCAGTGAGTATTAGAAAAGTGCGACGGAGTCCTAACTGAACTCACTCTGCTTTTGGTGGCAACATGGCGAATACCGTAAATCCTCAAATAAGCCCCCCAGCTTTGGGGGCGTGGCTTATTAAAGAGGGGGGGCTTATTAGAGGGGGGCTTATTTGAGGGGGGCTTATTAGAGGGGGGCTTATTAATTTAGAACTCAATAAAGAACTCAATTTTATGATCTAACTCTCTCAGTGGACCTTGTTTAGCCATTTTGTATTTTTAGCATTGCTCTGTAATTTCAGTACAACGTATTCTATTGATACCAACATGACAACATTAATCAATCAATTACCATAATCAACTTTAAATGACAAACTAAAATTACAGTATTTGAATAACTCTATCGTACTTACTGACATGGAGTGTTATTTTGAATTTTTGTTTTTTTGAGGGGGAGGGGTGGGGGTTAATAGAGGGGGGGCTTAATAAATTTCTTCCTCTAAAAAAGGGGGGGCTTATTAGGGGATTTACGGTAAGTCGGTTGTTCGAAGTCTAGATACTATTATTCAGACTAATTGACAAACACAAACACAAAACAAACCTGTGAAAGGCTTCAGGATTTCCCTTGCCTCTGACAATGAACGACTGAGCCCCCATGGACCCTGGTATAATGCCTAACTCGCCCTGACGAGCAGAAACCTGTAGGGAAAAAGAATTCCGTGAAAAAAACAAAACAAAACAAAAAAAACAGTCAACGCAAACAATGAACGACTGAGCCCCCATGGACCCTGGCATAATGCCTAACTCGCACTGACGAGCAGAATCCTGTAGGGAAAAGAATTCCGTGGAAAAAAAAAACACACACACACAAAACGAAAGTAATTCTGGATTGTGTTGGTTTTTGCCTAAAGGCGGCGACACATCTAACGATTTTATACCCCGATCATGGCGATCGGCGAAAATCGCTTGGTGTGCCCGGTGCAGCGATTGCCATTTCACCGATCGGCGTATAAAATAGCCTTTACCTGAAATGCTAGGTATCGGGAATAAAATCGCCAGGTGTGTCGCCGGCTTTACTTTGTTCTGTGATTGGCCTGTCAAATTTGCGCCATTCTCTCTCTCAACCAATCAAATTCAAACCTAAAACCAATCCCTACTTGTTCACTCGTGTTTTTCCCGCGCTTCAGCCAGTTTACCTGTTGTTGCTTTGAGTTCTCGTTGGCTTCTTGAGATATCTTTCCTTGTCTTGACTGGCCGATATGTATGATAACTTTGGTTTTGGCTTCACGAAACTCAATCGAAAGTACACTATATTTTCCATCACCTCGAACTTTAAAACAATTTTTAATAACTTTATTTCAGCTGAAAAACCTTTACGTTGATGAGGCAAAATTCTTTTGCACCAAAAGCTCCAAAGGAGGTTGATTCTGGTTAAAGGTGACTCTGTTGCTGAGGAAAATAAAAAGTGGGCTATTAGGTAACTTACCGCTCCCTTTCTTGTAAGAAACACTTCTTTTCCAAAGTGCGTTTCCACCTTGACGTAGTTGTGATGGCAGTTGACAGCCTTGCTGGATGGGTCAACGTCGAAGGCCGGCATATCGTTACAAGACTGCGCTGCTTTGAGCACATTGGTCATCATTATATTACGGTTCAGCCGGGCAAATTTTTGTGCCCAATTAACGGCATATACGTAGTCGTCGAAGTTTTTCGTCCCCTCTCTGAGGTAAGCGAGATCTCTATCAACCTATGTAAAATTTTTAAAACTAATTACTTCTCTTCCCGATAAACTGTCATAAATAATCCCAACTTCTACCAATCCAAAGCCAGTTATCACAAGTAGGGGTCCTAAAACGCATCATTTTTGGAAATCCTCTCGAAATGAGAGATTTTGAACATGGCACTTTTACTCCAATTTTCAGTGATGTCACAATCTGATTGGCCAATTTTCCGTTGTAGATTGCGGACTCAGCTGGCACACGGGAGTCCACAACATTTTGACCACGCTAGACCACTGTCGATTTGTCAAATTTCTGTGTTCATACGGACAGATAGAAAAAGGAACTTTTTGAAATCGGTGATTTCAAATCATTGGATCCAACTTGCTTGCTAGCCCTCCAACCTGGCTCAATTCTGAAGGGTAAATACCGTATTGGCGTTGGATGAAACAGCATACCTTGATTTGCTTGTCCAGTTTCATCATTTCATTCTTGGCGAGTTCAATAAACACCGTACCAATTCTGTTGCCTGGGCCTCGTGACCCTGAATGCAGCATGAACCACACCCTGTTTTCCTCGTCAAGACACATCTGAAAGACAACAATTTGGATGACAAGCAGATTCAACAACTAATCACTGATAAGGAAAGGCCGCACAAGAAGCAGCAAGAAAAGTGAACTATTGAGAACTGGACACATTTTCAATATTTACAGTACAGCTTATATACAGAAAGGATGTTTACTTTCCCCGAAAACCAAGTTCACATAACTTGGTAGGGAAAATATCGGGGAAAATTCTGGTACAAATGTAAGTTGCTGAGGTATGTAGTGGTGCCCAGTAGGAGGTAGATTCTCTAGCCTCTATGATCTTATCCTCTGTGGCTGATTTGCACTTGGGAAAGCATGGCTGTGGATTTGGATAGGAGCTTTTAAGGTACAATCAAACAGTGTCATGCGTCAGACTCAGCATCTTTGCCTCTGCCACTTTGTTGGCAAAACAAAAGGGTTACACCAGTCAAACGAGCAGAAAAAAAAAACAAAGAAAAAAAAACATACAGCCAAACTAAATTAACGTAACCCTGCTCTGACTTAGTTTGTAAGACTCAGAAATAATGTTTCTCCTCACACAACAAATTCACCTCAATAAAGTGATTTCCTGTGCCTAGAGTCCCCAAATGATTGACAGTGTTCTGTGCTTTAGCCAGTGGCTGTCGACTGCAAATGTGGTCATATTCTTTCTTAAGTTTATTCCACTCATGCATCACAGAATCAGGAATTTGTCTGGCTTTCCAGGCACCTCGGTCACCTTTACCACCCTAAGAAAAAAAATTTGAAAGTACTGCTTACTGCTTCATTCATAAAGCTTCATTCTTTTTAAATGAAAAGTTGAATTAACTGATAGAATAAGAATAGTCACCATTCATTCAAAAACACTGGCCAGCAAAAGCACTTTACTGCTTTGTCTAATTTAAGTAGTCAGTGTTTCAGAAACCATTATATAGCCAGTGAAAATGCCATTCACCTGTGCTTCTGACCATATGATTTCTAAGCTCAAGTCTGGATCAAGAGGTATCAGTCCAGACCCTGCTGGGCCAATGAGTTGACTACGCTTGGAAAAAAAATTCTTTATTCCCCATAAGGATATAAATGCCATGCATGGTACAAAAACAAATTATGTTCACTTGTGAGTTAAAAAAAAAAACAAACAAACAAACAAACGAACGAAATAGATAAAAAAATAAATTGGAATTTAGCAGTGGCAGATATTAGCTTGTTAGCTACTCTAAAATTTGAGTATAAATAAATTTTATGTATGTATGTTTGTACTTCTGCAAGGTAGCTCTTTGTCCTCTGTTTTCAAAGCATGGAATGTTGGTTTTTGTGCAGGGACTGGAGATCTTAGAAAACATCATAAAAAGTGCACACAATTCCATCTCTGCATAATGTACTAAAGCAGTTAGTGAAGGTACCTGATGGGTTCGTCCATGTGGTACAGCCTGTTCAATAGCCCTCCTAAGGTTCTTCAGTGAATCTGGCAGATTTTCGGCAGATATTGTTGTTCTTACTGCCATCATTCCACATCCAATGTCCTAAATCAGTGGGAAGTAATTAAATTTTTATCATTAATCTTCAATTCTTTTTCAAGAGCCTCCTCAAGTAATGAACCTTCCTATTGTCACTGAGATCCCTGGAGTAGCACACTCAGTATCTCATTCTGAATATCCTTCTTTTCACCCTCTCTTCCCCTTTACAATGTTGCACTTTGTTTCTTTGCTGCTGAATGTAATTGGATCAGAAAAGGGGGTATTGTAGTGAAATTTGATTCAATTTAGATTTCATCTCTTAATGTTTTCTAAAACTTGGCTTCCTGATTGTTGTGTCCCCTAGATACCTTGCAAATTTCTGATCATACTACCATAGCCATTCTCACAATATATGAAAGCGTTTTATAAGTCACACTAACCACTCCCACTGCAGCTGGAATGATTGCATCAACAGTGGCAACCACACATCCCACACATGCTCCCTTCCCAAGATGCATGTCAGGCATAGCTGCAACATGTGAGTGGATTATTGGTAATTTGGCCAGAGAGCGAAGTTGATCAGCGGCATCCTTTTCCACAGGAACGCCTTTTACCCACGCTTTAACAGGCACACCATTCTAGAACAGAATTTAAAAAGGTTCCAGTAATCAGTTGAACACAAACCATTGCCTACTAAATCTAATGTAACGCATGCTTCCCTCATGGTGACACGCATTCATGTTTCCAACAAGAAACAAATCCTTGAAAACTATCACAGACAGAAACCATACTCAACAGGCCCTTATTTAGTACCAAAAGAGTGGAAGCTTCCCTTTCATTTATTTGCCTTCCTATGCCTTTCATTACCAACGTCTTTAAAAGATATTTTCCGACTTGTCACAAACTGCATCATTTTTCATTAAATTTTGCTACTGGCTGGTTTATGGTATACGTATCTATGAGGTCTATGATATCATATTCGAACTGTCGGTTGTAGAAGTTTCTAAGGTTTATTGTAATATGAAAACAACGAACTAAAACACCAAGTATCTCTGACTGACAAATAACATCTCGTTTGCCATTCGGGGAAAAGTAATTCAAGTCAAAATCTCTTTAAAATTTGAACAAATCAAGGAAATAACATTGGGCGATTTCTCGATTAGAATGAATCACTGTATTTTACGTTGCTTACATTCTCCCCCTTACTAAGGACCACGTAACTTAAACTCCTTGAGATCGCCAATCTACCACTGGATGAAGAAATCAGCTGTTTACGACCAACTAGGAACGAAAAGGGACGTGCTACCTTCCATCGAGACATCGTTGTAAACAACTTTGTAAGTCCCAGTCTTACTCACTAAGTATTCGTTTCAAAAAGTCCGAGGGAGGGGAGGGGGAGTAGCTGAGGCGGAGGGGGGAAAGGAAAGAAGTTTTAATCTGACAGACTTACCTTTAATTTACTTGATATTTTCTTATAGGGAAAAGTATTCTTAACATCTTCTTATACAGGCAAAAATAATCCATAAATTGCATTTCTAAAGGGTTTCTTGAATAAGGTGATGTTTGATTATACCCGTCTTGGCTTCGACGTGCGAAATGTTACAGAAGAAACAGATTTATTTAAGTTTTAATTGTCATAAGAAGAAATCTTAAGCATAAACTAACTATTACCTTGTAAATAATTTAAAACATGTTTCTAGATGTGCTTTCAAGAGATGCGAATGATACGCAAGAACAAGTCTGTTAAATAGATTTAATAACACACGTAGTTATTTTGGACGCCTTTTCTGTTTCTATTTCAATACTCTCCATATAATTCCTAAATGTACCGAATAATATAAAGTGTTCTCAAAAAATTGTTCAATGACCAGCCATAAAAAAAGCACTAGCTGGCAAAGGTGAACATTTTTTTCTAAACATAGGTCAAAATTTACGGCTTTTGCTAATCAAAATAGCCAGCGCTTCAGAAACGAGAAAGCAAAACTTTGGGTGCCGGTGTTTCCAGAGAACATTGAATATTTGACACGTTTAAGTTGACGAGCCTCTCAAGCCCTCCCTTATTTTCCCTTAGAACTCATAGCCGGCGACAATTACGTTGTCTCAATATAAATGGTACGTTAGAAACAATCTTGTGGACCCCACAGCCCCATGAGTCCGCGTCACTTACAGACAGATCACTACGCCAGCACTGAACATATGTCCAAGCGAGGGGCTAGCGCGCTCTGAATTTCATCTTTAAAAACTCTTTGCGGTGGCCAGTTTACGTTAACAAATTTTTGAACCTCGATTTCATTGGCTTATCTCAAATTTATGATATAGATTTGCTTGTTGAAATGTTGAAAATTAGTCTTTCTTTCGGAAAATCTCGGCTCAAAATGAAGGGCAATTAAAGAATTGCTAAAGGACCACTTTTATCACAAATTTAAAAACGTTTTTCACATGGAATGCTTTCACACATCTAGCTTCTGTCTAATATGGTCGAAAATGTTTGTAATCATAGAGGGAAACACGAATCTTTTCCAGGGCTCTCCATACCACACTTATACAGAATTCTTCACTTTCTCTTGTAGGTTGAGTATTGAAAGCTTGAAGTATGAGAGATAGAACTCCAAATCATGAACTTGGTTTGATGAGATTGTCTGGAGGAAGTTACTTTTCTGTCAGTTTTAGCAGTAATCTTGATGCCATCTCTCTGCGGAGGGCTTTGGGGTTGGTCTGAAGCGAAGGAAGCTTCTACAGCGCCTGTTTCTCCTCCGCAAACTTGGTGTAATGTTGGGTATATCGTACATGAGGTGTATTAGCAAGGTCTGTCAGTTGATTGGATGAATTGGGTGCACCACTTGCGAAAGTTTTCGAAGTGACTCCTTCGCTTTGGCTTGCTAAAAAATTTGGATAGTTGGAATGGCATGCTTGACTAGTTATGCCATGGATTTCTGTCTTCTGCTGTGTTTGTAGTTGTTGAAGTGATGGGGGAATTCCCGGTGGGGGTACTCCCTTATAAGGGCTTAATGGGGACGTGCGGCCAGCCAGGGTATGTTTTTCGAGATTTTTGTCTTAAACAGGGTATCGAATTTATCATTTTTTGTCTTAATCAGGGTATCGATTTATCAATTTTTGTCTTAAACAGGATATCTTTTCTTTGAAGATAAACAGCAAAATTTGTACAAGCTCTAATTTTAATTAATATTGATTTCCGTTGATTTTGGCATTGATACCAGGCACGTTAAATGTCTTAAACAGGGTATAAAAAATCGGAATTCTGTCTTAAACAGGGTAGGAAAATCAGCGATATTTGTCTTAAACAGGGTCAGGGTATGAGGGGCCGCGCCGCACCTCCCCACCCAGGAATATATCGAGTACCCCCGGGGGGAATTGATACTGTTGATGAATCGTCAAAGCAACGTGGCTCCGCCAAAATTCCTGACTGCAAAACATAGCACTGTTGCCTCTTGTTTTCGGCGATAGAGGCATCACTGTTAGGCGGGTCGGAACTGTGGAAAGACTCAAAAGTGTCTTGTCTCAGAATGTCAAGGATATCCTCTAAATCCTCTTCCCATGATGCATCACGGAGTTCTCGTGCTTCTATTTCAATTACCTCCGGACTCTGATTTTGGACGCTGTTGATTCAGAGAGAGTGGGATATGTTTAACGATTTCTGAAAAAAATTCTTGCATGTAGGACTGAGGAAATGGGAAACAGTTTTAGGTAGCAAAGCTTTAAGAAAATACAAAGTAGTTCAACCTTTTACACCCTAACAACAGTTCAAGAGTTGACCGTATCTTTAACCTTAACGGACCGAAAATGCTTTCAAGAAATTAGCCTTAAATCAGAACACATCTACTGCAACGCACACGCACGGGGGCACCCACATAAACACGCGCATGCACACACACGTATACGCACACACATATGCACACTCACAGAGCAACGATGAAATGGTTTTATATCAGAAATCGGAAGAAAGGTTTACTTATGGCCTTGGTTTACTCCCAGGTTTCTTATACTTGCCCGAGTTTCTACGACTCATTTTTTTCGGTCCTGCCAGGTCTCTTAGGCTTTCTTGAATTACTCTTAATCTCTCGTCTGAGCTTCAGGTTAACACATTCTGCATTTTTACAAGGAACGGCATATTTTGCCACAGAGAGCATGATTGGTTTGCCACGCTGAAGTTGACAATGAACTAAAACCTGAATTGAAAAACACGTTCGAATGATCAAGAATGAATGACAAAACCTTGCTCAACGGTTAAGTTCTGCGCATGCATGAACGATGTAACGTGTTCAAGGCGTACGTTCAGGCTGTAAAAATCAATTTTATTTAACAAATGGTAAACACCGCAGCGTACACTATTGAGTTATGGATGCACGCGGGAGGTTGCTAAGCACGAAAGAAGCGTAAGAGTCGCTCGAGGCGATAGCCGAGAGCGACTCTAGCTTCTTGAGTGGGTACAAGTCGTGGGTCGTGGGTGTGGGTGTGGGTGTGGGTAAAAGTCGTGGGTGTTCGACGTGCGAAATGTTACAGAAGAAACAGATTTATTTAAGTTTTAATTGTCATAAGAAGAAATCTTAAGCATAAACTAACTATTACCTTGTAAATAATTTAAAACATGTTTCTAGATGTGCTTTCAAGAGATGCGAATGATACGCAAGAACAAGTCTGTTAAATAGATTTAATAACACACGTAGTTATTTTGGACGCCTTTTCTGTTTCTATTTCAATAC